AACCTCTCAAAAAAAAAAAAAAGAGAGAGAGAGACAGAGAGAGAGAGACAGAGAGAAACGAGAAGGTGACTTACTCTCCCCACCGTGAACAGAAACCAGAAGCCATCGCTGTAAATGCAAGCAAGCGCCAAAATTTATCCTGTGGAAGTGACACACACGAGGTTCTGGCTGGCCGTGGTCGCCTGCTCACCCCGAGTCCGGGCTGTCAGGGCCAAGCCGCTTTCTCCTGGATGGCCTTGGTCTCTCGCAGGGTGTGTCTGTCCCTCCTGTCATGTCTGTCTGGCCCCCCAAGCCCAGAGTCCCAGCAGACCACTCTGGAAGCACTCTCACGGCAGTTAAGACTTTGACTGTAGAATTGGCAGTGGGTCCAGAACCCGGCCCTAATCAGCCACTCACTCGGTCGTGTTACTTGGCCAAACCACTGTGCCTCTGCCCCCCCAAAGCCATGTGGGCCGGGCATGGCTGTGGTCTCAGCAAAAGCCTGTGCTTAGGGCTGTTAAGATGCCTCACAGTCGCCATCAGCTCAGCTTTTGCTGCTGCTCTTTGGAAGCAAGAGAAGAAGCAGAGACCAGAGAGGGACAGCCACTTGGCCGATGTCACCCAGCCAGCCAGTGATGGTCGAGCTGAGACCCTGGTCCCTCAGCGACCCCAGGAGGGCTCGAGCGGCTGTGTACCCAGAGGTTCCATTCCACCTGCACTCACAAAGCACCTGCCATGGGCCGAGCTGGCATCACACAGACACAGCCCCACCCTCTGAGAGTTTGCCCCCACAGACCTGGAGAGAAGGGGCATTCACAGAAATGGAGTTGTGAGACTGAGGCAGACAGGGAGGACGAGGGGCCCAGAGGCGAGTGGGGACTAGAGTGGTCAGTGAAGGCTTCCTGGAAGAGGTGGTGGTGGGTGAGTTCTGTAGGATGAGGAGTGGGGGTTCCTAGGCAGCAGGCTCTGGTGAGGCGAGGCCAGGAGAGAAGCAAGTCTTAGGTATGTCCCTCAGGCTGGGCCAGGGCTGGGCTCTTGACCACTGAGGCAGAGGGGCCACCAGCACTTCAGAGTGGCACCCCTGTCAGGGCTCAGGCCACCTACTCCAGGGCAATAGGCAGACCCTGGCCAGGCCCTGAGGAGGGGGGCCAGGAGGCCGTGCTGCCTGCTGTCAGTGCACGGGTTCCTGGACCTTGACGCCCTGCCCTGAGATCGGGCTGCGGGTGATGTGACGTGGGGAGCTGAGGGAACATGGTGGCTGCAATGGAAGTTATGGGGCCACTTGTGCCCTAAACTGTGCCGAGGGCCTGCCCGGGCCTGGCCTGGCCAAGGAGCGGGGCCCGTGGGGAACGAGGCCCCGGCGGACGAGTGAGTCGAGCCGCAGCCTTTCCCAAGTGGAGTCCCAGGAACCCTGTCTCACAGGCTGCTCCTGGAGGAAGCCTGCGCTGGTCAAGGCAGTTGGAAAATCCCCACCCCTCGATAGGCTCTGGGTCGGCCAAGGCTCTGACAAGTCCTGCCGGGGAGAAGCTGGGTTTTGGTGACACGGCCCGGAAGGCCAGAAGGAACTCTGGACGGAGGCTCTGGGTGAGGAGGGGAGGCTGGGCACCCGCAGCAGCGGGTCGGCCTGCCATTCCCTGCCCTGCTCTGGCTGGGCAGGCCGCGGGGGGACGTGAGTACGGCTGAGCCCTGTGGCCGGCCCTATCGACCAGCCCAGCTTGCTGCTCCTAGAGGCAGCATGTGTCAACCCAAACGTGTAACCCAGGGCTGCACAGTCCGCCCTGGGGGACTGCAGGGTGGGGCAATCAAGCTACCAGCAAGGAAAACGGCAAGTGCCACTTACAGCCGAGAGGGCTGTGTCATCTCCCTCTCCCACCCGAACCGGGTTCTGCTTCTCGTCCCACTGTCCATGGAGCTGGCCCCTCCAGGGGGCGTCCTGCTGTCTGGAAGTTTCTGGGGAGCTAGTCTGCCCGGCCGATCACACAGGCTCTAGCGCATCAATCCCACGCCTTCTAAAACATGAAGCAGTTTGTTCTCTGTGTCCGGGCGGGGGAGACTGAGGTATGAAGCCACCAGGGACCTGGGCCCAGCCCGCTGCTGGAGAGCAGTTGGAGGCGAGGTGGAGCGGCCTCTGGAAGCAGTCTGAGGACCTGCTCTCTGGGTTTGGGTTCCCGAATGAGAGGCCCCAGGGGGTCCTTGTGAGCATGGAGACCCACACAGGAGGGC